TCTATGCCTTTCCAGTCCTCCACCACACTGACTCTTTGCCCTTATTGTTGCCTTACAACACCTGATGAGTAGTACCTCCCAATTAATGGTTTCATAATCTGGCTTTGTCATGGTAAACAAGTAATTCCTGGTTAGAAACCACATGCTAAATGTAAGCATTAGGGCAATTGCTGCTATTAGTGATTACTGTCTAATTAGTCATCTACAATGTACTGCATGGTATGGAGCGAACTAATGTAATGATCTCTTGGAAAGGAAAACAGAAATACTCTATTCCAAAAGTGTAACTTGAATGCAGTAATTTTCTGCACAACCTCGCTCCAAACGTGAGTCAGGCTGTGTTTATTTCTTGTCTTGTGCACCTGAGCTAACTACCTGGAGGCAGCAGTATAAAAATCAGCGGCTGTGACTCGCTTCCTGAAAATTTATTTTGCTCCATCTTAAAATCTTGGCCTGCTTGACCTCAGCAGCCTTCACCAGTTTGAAAATGCAAGTCATAATCCTCTGTAGGGATTTAGCCAGGTGTCTATTACAGCATGTAATCTGTGATAGAGCCTCCAATATTCACGCTGCAGAAAGGTTAAGCCCCTCTGTCTTTGTTCCTGAGTAAAAAAGTCCATGAGGTGTTACTGTGGACAGGAGGCAGATTGAAAGAAGCAACATCTTCAATCAAGCCCTAAGCCTGTGTGCATGCCACTGAGGAGCTGTCCTGATGAGAGACCTGCGGCTTCGCCTGAGCGGCACCGCTCAGACTTTAACCCTCGAACCGCATCTGCAGCACCACCACCGGCTCCCCTGCTGACGTTCAAAGGTTATACTACTGCTAGACCTCTGGTTTTTAACCGAAATCCTTACTCTAGGGTCACTGTCCCATCAGTCACCGAGTTGTTCCTGAAGATGCACTTGCTAAGACACGCTCCTGCCCAGCGGCAGGGGCCCTTGCAGAGCACCTCAGACACCACTGCAAAAGCTCAAGCTGGTTGGCACAAGCAGACGTCACTGTGTGCTAAACCAAACTAAATGGAGCTAATTGAGGAGAAACCCTACCAGGACCAGTCAGCCCTAGGCAGCAGCTTCTCGGGCAACTCTGCTTTTCCAGCCGAGGCTGAGTGTGACCAAACCGTGTGACGCAGCCACATGCCTTTGCCATGCCTGCAAAATGGGTACCTCTTCCTAAAGCCAAAACTTTTAGACTATGTCAGTAGTTTTGAATTCCATGAGCGGTCTAAACCAACATAAATAGCAACTTAATTTGCCTGCCTGCAAGGAGCTATTTAATATCAATCTCCAGTTACTGTACAGGAAACTAGTGGGTTTCTTTTAGATGGTCGTGGTGTTGGGAAAGCCTCAGCTACCTGTTACGCTAATTGGCAGTAAAGTGCTTAGAAGTATTTATTAGTGTTTAATTATTTAGAAATCTCCTAATGGCTTAAATATAGTTTTGAAAAGTTATAAATATTTTCCACCTTGTCCAGCTGAAGAGCTGCTGCTTGGAAGGCTTAAATGAAGATCTATTTACGGCTGCCTGCTGGTCACAAAATTACTTACAGCTGCTAATGCTCCAGTCCTTTAGATGTCTCCAACACAGAATGGGCTTAGTTTTCACAAATTGGGGAAAGTTTCTCTTTGTTGTATTCATTTTACTGAGATAGAGGCCTTAAAGAGGATTATCACAAAGATCAAGACATTAAGATGTGTAACTAATCCTACTTAAATTAATTGTTCTCACACTAACATGTACTAAGGAACATTCCTGTAGGGTAAGACCTCTTTACACCATTTTGGTAATGTAAGTATAACTGAACAGGCAAATTACATTTAAGATGAGTTAGAAGAAGTTTAAAGCCAAGTTGCTGGTAGAGAAAACGGAAATCTGACTCCAAGCTTCTGAAGCAATAATCATGTTAAATATTTCAAAATTACATCAGTGACTGCCATGTCAGTAGGCAGAGGGAAACTCACCTAAACTCATCATTTCTCTGTCCCTCCCTGTGTTAGAATTCAGGATGTTTGTTTTGTCGGCTTAGATTTTTTTTCCTCCTAATTTCCTCTCTAGAATACTGAACTCCACACAGGTTATTTTGGTGCCATCAAATCATTCGCCTCTTATAAGAGAATTGCATGCTATAAAATTAAAAGAATGATTCAGTTTATTGGGGAGGATATGCCTGAAGTTTTTTATTAGGATTCTCGTTTGCAGTGGTGTCCTTACCCCAGGGTTTCAGTGATGAATTCTGCCACTGACATTACCACTGGTAAGAGTTTCAGGTGCAGGACAGCGCTGTGATTCTGAGCCATTTCTCACTATAATCTGCCATTAATTGGAATAGCTTCATCTTTCCAAAAAGGCTTTGTGCCCAAAGAGATGTCGATTACCATTCAGTAGCAAGCTAGGGCTGATTTTTAGCATTCACTGCACCATTCTTTTAGGTACCTTATTGCTACCAGCTCTCATGATCTTATTGCATTCACACTAGCTTGTGTTTTGTTAGAGCCCCATCTCCCAGTGTTCTCTGATTATATTTGCACCTCAGCTTTTGCTAAAAAAGAAAAAGTGAAAGAAAAAGAGAGCAAAAGAAATCAACTCTTGTGCAGAAAGACACAATACGTCCCACACAATCTGAGTTAGCCGCTGGAAGTCATAAAACATGCCTCCTCCAGCATCCAGGGACTAGCGGATCAGAGCAGCTTTAGTTTTTAACATGAAAAATCACAACAGACTCAGTGGCTGCTTGTGGAGCAGGGAACCAATGCCATCCCTCAGCACTGCTTAATGCGCCTGTCTGGATACCCAGGAGCATTTATTTGCTGGGTTTTGATACCCATGACCTCCCAGTGAAGCTGCTTTTACCAAAACAATGACAGAAACATACATGTTAAAGGTTCACAGGCAGCTTCGTGGTGACAGGTAAAGAAGTGACCAGATTTTTCTAGTAAACCTCATAAAGGTGTGATTTATGCAACTCTGAGCATTTTCTACAAAATTTATATTTACATATAGTCAAAGGGTCTGGAACTTTACAGATTTCACAATATGTGTATTTTCCCTAAGGAAAAGAAAAGGCCTAAGTAAGTTAGCAAATTCTGGCATTCATGTCTGATATATTAAATGGAGCTTAAATAATAAAAAATTCTGTGTTTTCTCTATTCTGCGTGAAACTTATTTTTGATTTTCACTGTTTTATTCAAAAGGAAGGCATAGAAATAGCAACCGTGAGCTTGAAATCAGAGCTGTAACAGGAACTTATTATAGACACGTTTTGCAGAGTGCTTCCAGTTACAGCTGCATGCTTTGAAGCTGTCAGTGTAACAAGCAATGTGCTGCTTTTCAAATAACCCTTTTTGTTGTCTTGTAGGTTTTTTCCCTAACTTTGAGTCCCAGTGAATCATTGTCAGTTTTAGCATTCCACTGTATTAATGGGAAAGAGACAGAGAAAGAAAATAGTATTTCCCTGCCTGGGTAAGAGGAGGTTGCCAGTGGGGAGGTCAAAGCGAGTACAGAAGTCCTTTTACTGGTATTTCATGGGAGTATGTGAAGGAGCAGAGCAGTGGCCAAGGTGGAAACTCATGTTTGAAACCCATTTCCCACACCTGATGACACTGAATAGCTTCATTGCCCCAAGGCTTTGAGGTGGAGAGAAACATAGCTGTAATTATAAGAAAAGAGAAGGTTGGTGATCATACCAGGGCTTGTCCTGTTCCCAGGGTAGGCAAGGGGAACTCTGATTAGTGACAATAACAGCTACACTATGGAGCACTGCTAGGTATAGGCATGGTCATCTTTTTCCCCAGCAGTGCTGACCATCAGTGAAAAGAGCCATGGCTTCTTCCACACTCCATGTATAAGGCGGAGGGAAGGATACAGAGCAGCGGATGCTCTCTGGAACAAAAGCAGAATGAACAAGTAGCCAAACATTAATGTACTGTTGAAAGCCGAAATTAGATAGATGTGATTCAGTGCAGCCTATGGGCTCTGATATCTTGGCAACTGCTGCAAGATATCCCCGATCTGCAGACAAAATAGCCTTTGTGAAGGAGCAGAAGATTGTAGCGTGCAAGTTAATGCATCAAAAGGCCAGGAAGAGAATAATTCCGTTTCACCTTGCTGCAGAGGACAAGCAGCAGTAAAAGCTGTGCACTATTGGCAAGCCTTTTTTGTTGCTGTTTTTAACTCAACCCCCAGTTCAGCGCTCCAGCCACCTCGGCAGCATTCCAGCTGGAGCTGCTGACATCTCCCACCTAATCAAGTGCTGGATTATCTTGTCCTGACAAATTGAAGCCGGTGCCTCATGAAAGTCTTTCCTGAAGTACTTCGCTACCCTGTAATAAGATGGCAGATGTCTAAATCAAGCCCCAGAGCTGGCAGAGCACTGTTTTTCTAATGGCTTTTGGTGGCAAGTGTAAATGTTTTAAGGCAAGCCGGTGCTAAGCTGGGAGCACAGTTAAGCATGATAAATTTCACACCAGGATGAAAGGAAACTTGAAGATGTACTGGATACTGGTTTGTACTGAGTACATATGGGCTGCACTGCTGACCTCAAAACACTTGCCCTAAAAATTACTTGTGAATGGAGCTCTTGAGGAACGTACTTGTTTTGAAAAGAAATTCTTTTTGGCTGCTGCATCCTTCTAGGAAGAGTTGGAGTTACTGAGCTATTTGAGACTCGTGTACTGTTCTTAGTCTTTTGTGACTCCATCACTGGTCCGAATCATTCAGGGTAAATAAACTCTTTTCTTCCTCTAAAACCTACTAACAAAAATGTTTGTTACAGAAGCAAGGGTGCTATATATGCTTCTGTTTGTGAGTTTACTTCAACAGGTAAAATAGCCAGGATAAATTTTGTCAAGATAAAGGTATTCCTTGCAAGCATTTGTGTTTTCTTTCTTGGTTTCACTCCCAGAGAAAAAGCAGCAGTTGTCATGTGCCAGACAAGAAACATCTGTATGTGTCACAGTCACCTGTAACGTGCCTCTTGTAACACTGCTTTGCTCTTTTCCAGGGGAATCCCTACATGTGCAATAATGAATGTGACGCGAGTACCCAAGAACTGGCTCATCCTCCAGAACTGATGTTCGATCTCGAAGGAAGACATCCCTCCACATTTTGGCAGTCCACGACTTGGAAGGATTATCCAAAGCCTCTTCATGTTAATATTACACTCTCCTGGAACAAAACTATTGAGCTGACAGATAACATAGTTATCACTTTTGAATCTGGCCGTCCAGACCAAATGATCCTGGAGAAATCGCTCGACTATGGACGAACATGGCAGCCCTACCAATACTATGCCACAGACTGCTTAGACGCTTTCCATATGGATCCAAAATCAGTGAGGGATTTATCGCAGCACACAGTCCTAGAAATCATTTGCACAGAGGAATACTCTACTGGGTACATGACAAATAGTAAAATAATCCACTTTGAAATCAAAGATAGATTTGCTTTTTTTGCTGGACCTCGGCTTCATAACATGGCTTCTCTTTATGGCCAGCTTGACACAACCAAGAAGTTAAGAGATTTCTTTACCATCACAGATCTGAGGATAAGACTGCTTAGGCCAGCAACTGGAGAAATATATGTAGATGAGCAGCACTTGGCACGCTACTTTTATGCAATTTCAGACATAAGGGTATACGGAAGGTAAGAGAATATATACTTTTAGAAACAGGCACGTATATTTGGTTTTAGAGGTTATTCAAAACTCTTTATGTTGCCAAACATGACGTTTTCTGCCAAGACATGTTCACTGGAGATCTGGCTCAGTCAAAGTCTGTTTCTGGTCATGCTAGAAGTTTCTGACTCGGTGGCACAAAGTGACAGCAGGTGTTCGCTGTCACTAGCGTGTGATCTTAAGCGCTAGGTCTCACAAGCAGGATAGTATTAAGTTTCTTATATTGGCTCAAAAATTCACCCTGGCATTAGGACATTTTCTGCGTTTTTACAGTTGGAGCCTCATCTGATAGCAGTTGACTAAAAAGAGAGATTCTGTTTTATCATTTGACTTTTTCAGGCCTTTAATGTAAGCTGTGATTGATACAGCAGCCCTTGCATGGACTCTTCCCTCTAGGTCTGGCTATGAGCTGCCTGTGAACAAGGAAGGCAGCAGAGATTAGAGTCCATTCCTTGTGCTTTAATTATTTCTGAAACACAGTGAAGCTGAAGTAAAATGAAAAAAAACAACAGTGTTTTGGAAAGACTGATTTGAATATAACAAAGATGATTATTCAGCTGGGTTCAAGACAAATAGTCCCTCTGGGGCAAGCAGTGGCTGGTATCAGGTGCCGTAGTCCCCAAAATAATAACTGTTCAATGACCCTCCTATCAGGAAATTTTCTTCCCAACTCTAACTAGCAATTGACTGATGACCTCAAGCAGGAGGGTGATACCCTGTACATGTGTCTTGGATGCCAATTTGTTCAGAAGAAATAAATGGGACCTTCTCTATTAGCAATTCACTCACCTCTCTAATATACCTTTTCCTTCTCCTCTGTTTCTTCTATAGAGAGTTCAAATCTTCCTTTTTAAAAACCTCTTTTTTTTTTTCTCCAAGAGAAGCTAAATATCAAAATGAACAAAAAAGCAAATGTATCTTGGAAGGCCAGAGCATTTTTGCAGACACAGGACTCAGTGGAAAAAAAGAGACAGTGATTCTATAAAACACTGGTGACTACATTTTTATTACTCTTGTTGTGAGTTTGCCTTTTTCTACCTCTTTTATACCAGCCTTTCATGTTCATAAGCATTTCCATATTGCAAAAATCGATAGTAAAATCAAAATAGAATCAATTTACTGTGATGTAATCCACTGAAAAATATTGCTCTCACTATATATAAAGGAAGAATTGATGCCACGTGCAAGCTTGAATGCTTAAGCGCTTTTACAGTGCCAATATATTTTTATATGACATCAAAATACATTTCTGAAGACCGTAGATTTAGCATGTAGTTACAATCTTCTGTGTCCACACCAAACATACGCACAGAATCACTAATTGAACGTGTGAAAGTAAAAGAAATGTTGCTGGTTTAAGAATTATTATTGTTACTCCTATTAGTTTAGTTACACTGTAAATTATTTTTCAGAAGTGTCTTGAGAGGGCTAAGTGGATCATGGACAGCTTAAGATACTGTTTGAAATAGTTTAGTAGCATTAGCCTCAGCATGTAAAAAATAACACATATGTCCCATTTAAGGTGTAATCTTTCTCTACTGGGCCCCACACAGGTTAGCTCTACAGAGGGATCATATCAAAGCTCAGGATTTGAAGGTCCTTACGCTTTAAGGAAGAGCTGCTCCCCATCTGAGAATCCATTTGGAGCTTAGTCTGACTTCAATTAAACTATCAGTACTTTATCAAAGAAAGCATCTGAAGGATTAAAACAGAGTGCATTGCATGCAAATTAGAAACAGAAACCTTCCGAGCACATCTAGGGCACAGCAGTCTTGCAAAAAATTACCTATAGAAATGAAGTGTGACTGTACAGAGAACTTATCTGATGCTGATGCTTGTTGTCTAAATGCTGCGGTAATTGGACACATGCTTCAAAAGAAATATCTGATGTGTAATAGTATCTCACTAGATTAGATTCACGTGAATTCTTATCACTCTTCTGCTAATGAGAAGAACAGCACTTTAGGGATTTGGTGGCCTTTCCTTCAATATGTAGTGAGCCCTCCTTGTTAAAGAATTGATGGGCTTGCTCACTGCTAAGGAGCTGTGAGGCTGCAGTACTCAGCCCCCATTGTTTAGTTGCACCAAGGGTGACTTGCAATAGGCCCACTCTTACTCGGGTTTAGGTATTTTTGGTCTCTTACCAGAAACCTTATAGGGCCCCCCTGAAGAGTCTCCAAATCAGCATTATGATCCTGTGTGCTGGCATGCCCTGAGCACGGGAACACGATGCGGGGCAGCACGGGTTACCAGGGGTTTTGTGCCGCCGTTTCTGATTTAGCTGAGCTTTCCAGCCATTGCAGGGTTAATTTAGGATGTTAACTGGAAATTGAGTTACTATTTATTTATTTATTTATTTAGATACAGTGTTTCATATTCTGGACTTTGAGACCTGAATATTTATATACATTTTCTAAAGCCAGACCAGCTATTTCATTCATTCAGGACGGAATACAAAGGGGACAAAGGGGAAGGTACCAAGGAGCTTGACATGTGGTGGATGAGTGATGCTAGCAGACATATTTCAAAACTCGTCCTTTTACTGGAAAAAGTAACCTATAGGTTAAGTATAGTTAATATCACAGAGACTCGTAGTAGCGTATTTCTAATGGTAGTATAAAATGTGTGTCTGTTTCACACTGTGTTTTAAGGATCGATGACAGTGAAAAGCATCTATCTTAAAGCTGCCATATTCAATATACAAGATGCTGGAGTGATTAATAATTCACATGGAATTATAGATAGGAGATTTACCCACTTAGTATAGGGTTTGTTTTGTCATTGCTTTGCATTTGGTTTGAAATAAGCCTGATGTACTCTCGATCAGCGCCTTACCTCCTCTATTACCACCTGTTTATTCGTCTTCAATTTACCACTTCCATTGTGTATTTATTAAGATGATGGAAAAAAGGAAATGTGGCTGTTAGCAATTTCAGCAACCCCATTGTGCTCACATTATTCAAGAAACCTAATAATCCACATGAACTAATTCTGACTTACTGATGGTCTGCTTCACTAAATCAGGGTGATTTTTTCTAGTGAATAATGGACGATGTAGTGTGCCAGTACCTTAATTAAAGAGAGCCTCTCTTAGTCTTGATCTCATTTTAATTTACAGGGTAATACTACAATAATATCACTAATGGAAGGTACATTAAAGGGCATCAAGTAGCATTAACTGTATTAAATTATGGCACTTGTGTTAATTAACTGCTAAAGCAAGATGGTCCTAACAGTTAGAAAGGTCGACTAATGCATAAATAAAGTCTTCTGGGATGGGAAGCTAAGAAAGAGCAGACATTTTTCCCCTCGTCTGGCCTTGCTGCAGAGAACCAGAGGGTGTCCTGTGCGGTAACCTCGAGAGGGTTTCTCTCACTTCGCTGCCTGCAGAGGTGGCCTGGGCTGCCTGTGAGCTCTGCTTGTCTTCAGTTCCACGTGAAGGACAGTCCTGGCAGTAAGCTGTGAGGCACAGCTCCCTTTTTAAACATTTTTTTTGTAGAAGAAGTTTGCTAAAATGCTGATAATATTTCCTTTGAAGTCAAGCAAAAGGTTCCTAGCAGACCTTGGATCAGGCTGCTAAAGGTTTAACCGCATTCATGCCAAGGTATTTTTGCTTTAACTGTTATATTGTCAGTGACGTGTACATTTATACACTGTAAATTAACTGTAATTTGAGATGCTGGTAAAAAAGCATTGCCCCAGTGGGTGACAGAAAGACTAGCTGGCTAAAACAAAGGATTTTATTGCTTTTGGGTGATTAGGTTTTGATCTAAGAGCCACCAGTTTCCTTCTGACACCAGAATATCCAGCCTCTGTGCAGCGTTATTAGGCCCTTTGGAATTTATTTTTATACCCTTCTCAACTTGAAGCTTCTGTATTTAAGCCGCAGGGTTTTCTGACCCTGTCTCAGCTACGGTTGCAGTTTCAACAGCAACAGAAACTTGCAGTACGCAAATGAAAAGTATCCTCAATTTTAATAGTTTCCTGCTCCCACATTCTCTCTTCTAAATTTAAATCCATCTCAGAATGTGAATAAATTACTCTGAAGGAAAGCATACTTGCCGCTTAGGGGGTTGGGGCGTTTTTGTCCTTTTGTCAGCCTGCCCCTCCTGCCAGCTGTGGCCCTGAGCCGCTCAGTGTTGCTGGGGGGATTTGGGGTGGGTGAGGGCCCTTCCCCTTCAAAAGAGCTGAGCTGCCCTCCGCAGTCAGGAGCTCACACTGCAGCCTGCAGCGACGGGCACACCGTGACGGCTGGGTTCTACCAGGTTTCATCCTCTGGCTTGTTCTACAGATCCATTCTACGGATGGATTAATTGGATTAAATCTCTATGTTACTCTGCCATACACTTGGCAACACTGTAATAATATCCCTCTATAATTTACCCAAAAGCAGAACTTTGCCCTAGGGAAGCGGTAATATATAGAGGTGCTTTAGTTTTATTTATAATAGAAAATGTTTTCATTACTGTTCAGCTCGGAACCAGACCATCAATATGAAGATATGTAGGCTTGAAGCTTTTAAGGAGACAACTGAATACCGTTCTTGTTTCTAGTATTCATTTGCCATACTTGAATACTCCTTGTTTTACGAGAACACTTGCTGCTTAAGCAGCTTGTTCTCCTTTGAGATTTTCACTTGTATTTGGAGGGAATCTACCAGTTTCTCCAATTAAATTATGAACTCATTAGAGAACAGGAAAGAAAAAGAAATGTATGTATTTAAGAGCATGTCAATTTATCTTTAACTCCCAAGCGCAATTAGCTTTTTTAATGTATCTAATGTAATATGTCACTAAGGAAAATGGTCCTTCACTTTCTGTAAACAAATCTAGGATCATCAGGAATCAAAATAATGGAATGGTCATTGTGTTTATTCACACATGAGCAGTCCCCAACGGTTTACTCCTGCCCATGCTCAAATAATACTCATTTCCACCCTCCATTCTTGTGACACAAGTCCTGTCCATCG